GATTTGAGGAAACAAACTAAAACACAAGGACAATAGCATGCCTGTAACTAGGATCTGTTCAATAACACTCTCATAATTAGGAGATTTTTTTTGTTGGCCCTCAGAGATTAGGAGCATACCGTGGAGAATCCGTGCATGCTTCTCTCGAAACTGAAGAGTTTTAGACTGCTGCTCGTCTCCCAGGTCGAGGCATAGAATAAAAGCACTCACCCAGGAATGTCTGAAGGAGTTTGCAGAAGGAAGAGTTTACAAACTGCAAAGAAATCCACTTTGAGGCTAGTCTTGTGTGATTTGCTCTTTCTTTCCTCCTCCACCATCCTTTTTTTGTAGTGTTATCATAGGGCCAAGTATGCTGTTCCTTTTCAGTACTGATGAAGGTCCTTTATAGCTAAAGAGGCACTATTCTCCCTTGTACTATTTTGCAAATAATTGGGGAATATATCTAAGCTGTGGTCACAGTGTAGCAGTGTGGACACATTATAGTATAAATATAAATTGTTAACTTGGGTACTGCTAGCAGTCTAGCCCATGATGACCTCTTTTCTGCCACAGTAGTGGACTGCTGACAGAGTGCAGGCTTCCTCCTAGGTATGTCAACAATGTACTGCAGTCACTTTGCTCCAATGTAGGCATACTGAGTGCACTATTGCAGATGGGAACATGCCAGTCCACCTTGTGAGTCAAAATAGTAGTTTTCCCTCCTAATTCTTCTTAGCAGTGTGCTGTGGCTACCTTTTTTTGTGGAAACCTTTTGAAGTCCTTTTGGTTTGTTGTTGAATAAGATCTTACCTTTTTCAGTTTGCATTTTGCAAAAGCAGCCAAAGTTTCAAATTCTTCTGCTTACAGTGTATGTGATGATAAAGCAAGCATCAAAAATATGAAACTTTGTAGTGTACATTTTTATATGGTATGTGAGAGCCCCAAAAGGCATCCAACATTTGTGTGTGGGTTTTTCCCCCTTAACCAACAGGTTCACCCTGACAATGAAGACTGGACCTGTTTTGAACAGTCTGCGAGCCTAGACATCAAATCTTTCTTTGGCTTTGAAAGCACAGTAGAAAAGATTGCCATGAAACAATACACCAGCAATATTAAAAAGGTGAGTTTAATCATGAAGTAGTTGTTAGGCTCTAGTTGGATTTAGTGTAGGTGCTGCTAACTAATAGTATGGGTATACTCACAAGATTAAGCTGACTTTTACAGCAAGGCATTGTGAAGTGGCTGTAAGCTTGTGGTGGGAGGAGTCTGATGGGATTTCTGGGCAAATCATGTCTTGTATGCAAGTGGAGACTTTTTAATGATTTATGTTATTTTTCAAAGGGAAAAGAAATAATAGAGTATTACCTGAAGCAGCTGGAGGAGGAAGGGGTAACATTTGTTCCTCGCTGGACTCCTGATGCATGTAAATTGGAGAAGAGCACATCTCTCACAGGCCGGCCAGTTTCCCCTGCTATCAACATACCAGATACTGCCACAAAGGAGGGGCTGAATAATAAGGAGATTCTCAACACCTCCAGCAGTCCATCGGAGCCTACAGCAGGGACACCTGATGGTATCTCTTTGTTTGGCTACTTTGACTTTTCAGATTATCTGTTTTTGGATTTACTTGGCAAGGTACTCGAGGCTATACTGCTTGGATGTAGCTGAAACTCCAGACAATTGGCTTCATGCTCAGCATCAACATGGCCATTAATGACTGGGTCTGGGAATCCTCAGTTAGAAGTTAATCTGTGTGGGCCATGTTTGAGTGCTGTTAGTTGATCATGTAATTGAATGAATGTCAGTGTTTAAAAGGGGGGAGGAGGAGGAGGGCAAGCGAATCTTGCTAGGCAGCTGCACAGGAAAAGTTTTTATATGCCCAGGGATTGAAGTGGAATACTCAGCACACTCTTCACCAGTCTGTTGCAAATAAATAGGCTTTCACTTATATATATTGGTGAACTAAATTAGGCCTTCATAGTAAAGGCCAGGAACTTTTACCTCTAAAGATTTGGACAGCAAGAACAAAGATACTGTGAGCATTTCCAAATGAGTATGGCCCTCTTATTTCTAGCACTGTGAATCAACAAATGTAGAGTTAAGTGCCGCATGAAAATACCTAATTTTTCCAGATACTGAGTTTCAACTCTTCCTTATTTGTGAAAGGACACGATTCATATTCTGTCTGCACACACAGTTTTATGCTTCTATACCGTGCCATTATCCAGAACAAAGGACAGGTCTGTCTTTTTAGAGATCTCAAACTTGTTTAAGATCCCAGCTGTAAAAATCACTATGGTTGTACTACTGTATTTGAATACTAGTGGAAAGTTAGTTACATTTTAAAAGCTAAAGGATCAATTTCTTTTTCTGACGTAAGTGCTGAATAAAGAACTTGAATTTTCCCATCTCATGTGGTAGACGTAAGATCAGTTTTCAATTTTCCTAGCCATTGGTAAGACCTGTAACATTGAGTAAATTCTATTTCAGACAAGCTGGATGCAGATTACATCAAGCGCTATCTGGGTGACTTGACACCAATGCAAGAGAGCTGCCTCATTCGACTTCGACAGTGGCTCCAGGAGACTCACAAGGGCAAAGTAAGAAATTGATCATCCCTTTTGGCATCCTGCACTTCAGGCAAGGATGCATAGTCCTAATCGGGTTAACCAGAGTGGTAGCAACTATAAGCACAGAAGCCTGACAGACAAGTCTAGTATGTTGCCCTTTGCTTTGGCTGAATGTATGTGATACTCACACATGCTTCTCTGAGTGTTTTAAATTCAAGTAGGGCAGTAGATAGACCTGTGACAAGAACTTAGTTGCCTTCTGGGTGATCTTGTGCAAATCAGTGCTCTCTTTCTGCTTCAGTTTCCCCATCCACAGAATGGGATGATGCTGACCTTTTTAGTAAAGTATTTTTGATATCGCTGATGAGAAGTGCTCTATAAGTAGGTAATCTTTAATCTTATGTTTCCATGGCATATTGCCCTCCTGATGGTTACCCATGGATGACTGCTTCTGATATTTCTTTTACTAACTCTTCATCTTTCTATCTTGGTATCTTATATATTGGCATCCTCCGTAGTTAGCAGGAGCATCCTATTTTTTTCCTGTCTTTAGACCACTTCTAATCCCACGGTTTCAGTTGCCACTTGATTAACAGGCGTGTAAGTGATCAGTAATTTATAATAGGTCAGACAGTTGTTTTTTTAATTGTGATTTTTGTATGTGTGTATCTCCCTTGAATTCCCAACCACATCTTCATGTCTAGGCCAAACCTAATGGTTGGATTCCTGTTTTTAAAGGGGAATTCAGTCTGCAGCCAGGTAGCAGGCCTGTTGATCTCCAGCGTGGGTGATTAAAAACCCATGCCTTTTTTAAAAAAAAGCAAGCCCAAAAACTTGTGCTCCTTTATAAGTTGCAGTTAAGTTTCCCTGTAATTAGGTGTGCAAGCTAATTTTACTTCACTGTCAGCATTGTAGAAATTGGCTCTTCTGGCATCTCTTAAGTTTTCAGCCATTTACCAGTAATTTGTTTTCTATTAGATTCCAAAGGATGAACATATATTACGATTCTTACGTGCTCGAGACTTCAATATTGACAAAGCCAGAGAGATCCTTTGCCAGTCACTAACATGGCGGAAACAGCACCAAGTAGACTATATTCTGGATACCTGGAATCCTCCTCAAGTTCTGCAAGATTTCTATGCAGGAGGCTGGCATCACCATGACAAAGGTATTTTTTTTATACTTGCAGATGCTGGTCATTTTGTAGTGTACAGCTGCCAGAGCCGCTTGGGTGGGTTGACAAACAAAATGAACTTTCAGGATGCACTGTACTTAAGTACACTTAGTTGGTGTGGTTTAGGTGACAGCAAATAAACAAGCAAGACTAGGTTCTACTTCTGGCTCTGACTGACTGGGCAAATGGCTTAACTTTTCTGAGGTGTAGGTTGTAGCTGTGTTGGTCTAAGGATGTAGGCA